CCTAGCCCAGGGCTGCGGGTCCTGCTGTGGATCCAGCTGCTGACAGCCTGGCACTTGTTGACCTTCTCCCCATAGGACCACCATCTCCACAAGCCAACCTTCCTTCAACTGACTTGCCCTGCCTGGACAAACTCCCTTCCTACCTGTGCTGAAAACCATCACACTATCACCAGAAACTCTGAGATTCACCTCCTTTATTAAAAGCTGTGAGTCAGCATGAGGGAGCGCAGAGTACTTCTCTCTCATTCTCTGATTCCTTATGTCTTCTGGGTCGTGTGCCAGCTTTGTACACCATTGACATGGAGTGATCGTCTCAGCTTTGATTCTGATTCATAATCTTTGAAATTATGCTTTCTTTTTCAGTGTACTCAAGGTTCTTGTATCCCACTTTCTCCTTTTATGCCCGCTTTGAGTTTTATCTCTAGAATAGGGTGGTCTTAATAAATTATTAATTAATTCTGTATCATTATTCACTTCATTTTGTTTGTTTATTTTATTGTGGTAAGAACAGTTGACATGAGATCTACCCGTCTAGTAGATTGTCACGTGTTCTCTACATTATCAGTGTATCATATACAGTAGAGACACGATTGCATAGCAGATCTCTACACCTTATTCATCGTGTGTAACTCAATTATAACACCCAGCGATGAGAGCTCCCCATTTCCTCCTACCCCAGCCTCTGGAAACCACCATTCTATTCTTGGCTTATATGACTTTGACTATTTTGGAGACCTCATGTAAGTGGAATCATGTAATACTTGTCCTTCTGTGACTTGCTTATTTCACTTAGTGTTCTCCAGATTTATCTATGTTATTGTAAATGGCCCGACTTCCTTCTTTTTAAGGCTAACTAATATTCTATAGTGCATAGGTACCACAGTTTCTTTATCTATTCATTTATTGAAGGATGTTGGCGTTGCTTCCACAGCTTGGTTATTTTGAAGTTATTTGGAATAGTGCTACTCTGAACATGGGTGTATCTCTCCAAGATCCTGCTTTCATTTGTGTGTATACGTAGCTAGTAGTCAGATTGCTGGATCATATGATAATTTTCTTTTTAACATTTTGAGGAACCTCCATATTGTTTCCATGGTGGCTGCACCATTTTACATTCCCACCCATGAACGAGGGTTGCAGTGTCTCCACATCCTTGCCAGCACCTTCAGTGGTTTTGTTTTGCATAACAGCCTCACCCAATATTCCAGTGTTTCACTTACTCTAAAATTATAATAATGTTCAAATATTGAGTGACATCCTGCATGTTCTTGTCAAAATACACGAACAAGGAACAGTGTCCCTTCTCCTGTGCAGTGTGTGGCTGGGCACTGCCAACATTTACATGCCTTTCCTGACTCCAAACTTGTGAGGCTGGCCATCCCACTCCCTTCTAACAACTGCATATTCATTTTTACAACATTCTCAACCAGACTAAGTCAATCCTGCTAATCCTGAAGCCATTCTTTCTCTGTTAGGTGCCTTGACATAAACGGGCTCTGGTCCTACTCATGTCACTTTTAAGTTCCACTTTCCAAGGGCATCTTCCTCTCTTGTTCTCCCGTTCCATGATCCCTGACTGTCGCTCCCAAATTGTGATATTTCCCATAGGTTAGTGTGAACTTTCATTTGGTTTATTTCTACCATAATATTTAAGAGCCAGTTATGATGTTACATGTCATAAAAGCCTAATTATATATTTAGATGGCCGCTCCCAAATTGTGATATTTCCCATAGGTTAGTGTGAACTTTCATTTGGTTTATTTCTACCACAATATTTAAGAGCCAGTTATGATGTTACATGTCATAAAAGCCTAATTATATATTTAGATGGCTCAGGTTTTCTTCTTCAATCTCTTTCAAAGCCTACATGTAAGACTTGGAGGAGAATTCCTGTCTTTGTAAGGTTTCATGGGCTCTCCTTTGTCATGTTTTGATCACCAGATTGTTACTTGTGATCCAGCAATCTTGCTTTCTCCCCGAGTTGTCCCCAATAACTTTGGCTGATGCTTATATATTTTGGAATATTTTTTCCTACTGTAGTTGAATTGGGGGTTAAAGACAATTCCTCATGTGTGTTCTCTGGATTAATACAATATTATTGTATAAATGACCAAATACTGATTTCAGAAAATTGATCTGGACTTTGTTGTCTTTGTTCAAAGTAAATACAAAGTTCAGCAATTTTTCTGCAAGTTTGTCCTTGGAATCCCCCATATATTGTGCATCAGAAAAGGACCCATGGCATATTCTCAGGTATCTGTTGAAAAGAAAGGTTTTGCTCCCTGAATCATGCCCTCCAATAGCACTGCCTGTGTATTTTATAGAGCATGAAAATGCCTTCAATAATACCAATACAGGGAGCTACATCAAGGTCAAATTGGGTAATGGGAGAGTGGGAACATGGCCATATTTAGAACTTATTTATTTACAGAAGGTGGAAGACATAGAGTAAGAGAAGAGAAATAAGACTGTGGAATTCAATGACAGCTATATCCTAAACAAAATATAAGCAAATCAAATCCAGTGCCAGATACATATGATTATAACTACAAATAATTATTTTCAGACATTATTAATATTTAAACATTGATCAGTTTTTAAAATCACTTTTACTGAGAAATGTACAATCATCATAACATTATCCCAATACATAAAGAAAAAGTTTTTCATAAATTTTAACACATTTTCAAAAGGTAAACCTTAACAAATAAGGAATAGAAAAAGATATGCTGTTCTTACGAAAAGAATCTTTAAAAAAAATACCAAAACTATCATATTTAACTGTGCAATGTTGAGAGTTCTCCCTCCTATAACAAGAATGTACAAAGACATCCACTAGACCTTCTATCCAGCATTGCACTGAAAGGCCTAAATGTGAACTAGGATTTAAAAAATTAAAACATAAAAAGACTGTTATAAAATTGACAAAACTATCACCATTAATAGATGATATGATTCTGTGTGCACAATTTCCAATAAGGTAAATTGATTGATAAACTATTAATAAAATAAGAGAGAAAGAGAAAAGGGGAAGGAAGGAAGGGAAGGAAGGAAACACACCAGAAATGCTCAGTCAGTGACTTGAAATCTCTGACTCTTGCTGGTAAACAGGTTAGGACTAGAGTCACCAATTTATCTCCATTTGCCCACAACTGGTCCAGTCAATCCCTGTAAGTCCTACATCCTGGGAAACCCCTCAGTCCTGGGCAAACTAGGATGAATGGTCACCTTGGGACATAAATCATTTGATACTTTCTGAACCCCAGTGTATTTTTTGTTTTTCTGTCCACCTGGTTCAGTTCTGCTCTACCATATGGAATATATTGTGCCAAATATCCCCTTCCCAAGTGTCTTATAGAACTGGGATACACAGGTGGAGGGGTTGTACAGAGACAGATGCTTGTTAGTCTTAAATCTCATTTTTGTGGGTGAACAGACTTGGGCCCAGGCATGAATTCAAATCATCACTGCAAACATATCAGCATGATTCCCCTCCCTACAGATACTTCTCAAAAGAACAAGCTAGGGAGAGGCAACTTCCCTGCACCTCCCCTGGCCCCAGGAACCATCACATGACCAGATGATGACCAGAGCAGAAACAATGCTGATGAGGTGACCGCCTTCCGTTCATCTGAAAAAAATTTCTGTAATTATTCTCAATTAAAAACTGATTAAACACTTTCAAAAGATTTTTAATATTTAGGGAAAAAACTTGCTCATTGTCAATTCCCAAACTGAATGGAAAACAATGTAAAAAACAACAAGGAAAATCCAAACTTCAGAAGCCCAGTGCATAAAGGGCCCAGGTTGGAAAGAGTCATCAGATTCTGGAAAACTCACCTCTGAACAGAAGCCCACTACCACTCCTCATACAATGACTAAGTCCTGCTGCTCCTCTTGCTGCCAGCCCACCTGCTGCAGGACCACCTGCTGCCGCCCCAGCTGTGGCTGCAGTCCTTGCTGTGTGTCCAGCTGCTGCCGCCCTTGCTGCGGTGTATCTAGCTGCTGCCAGCCCAGCTGCTGTGGGTCCAGCTGCTGTGGCCAAAGCTGCGGTGTGTCCAGCTGATGCCACCCTTGCTGCCACCCCAGCTGCTATGGCTCACCCTGCTGCCAGCCAGTTTGCTGCACAACTGTGCACTGCACAAGTACCTGCTACCAACCCACTTGCTGCTACCTGCCCAGTTGCCTAGCCCAGGAGTGTGGATCCAGCTGCTGCCAGCTTTGCTGCTATTGATCCTCTCACCATAGAATTATCTGGCACAGCCCACTTCCTGACAACCAACGTGCCAGTTCCCCAGTTACTGCCACAAGCTAGATCACCAGGCTTTGCTAACGTCTAGCACACTGCTATCATCTTTCTATTAGTTTCTTGATTAAAGGGCTTTGTGAGTCATCTCAGCGGTATGCAGTTGACTTCACCCTGATTTTCTGTATTCTAATTTGCTGTTGATGTCTGTGGTAAGTGCAGACTTGGGGGTTCCCTGACCTACTGTCATTGTCTTAACCTTAGAAAAATGATCATCATCTTCCCTCTACATAATCTAAAACATAAATCTTTATCATAGTTTTCTTAGGCTTCTTCCATGTTTACTATCTCCTTATAATCACGTTTTTTCTAATGTACTCATTATTTTTCTTCCTTACTTTTTTTCATGATTACTTTGCATTGTCTTCCCAGCTGTGGAGAAGCTCCCTTTGTTCCTTCCCAATAAAGTCTTTGCTGTTTTCCAGCCTATACTGTGATTTTGCTTAAGCCTGACAATGACCATTAAGTTCATCAATCCACCATGATCATCTCCTTTTTTTTTTTCCAGGTGAATAAAGTGACTCCATAAGGTCATGTGGCTAGGTACACACAGAAGTTGATCAAGGGCTTACAGACTCTGATCCTTGCTCCAGGGTGCATACATTTACATCTTACTAAAATCACATAAAAAGAGAGCGAAAAAAGGTGGTCTGACCACTGAGCACTGGGAAAATGCGTGCTTTGAATTGCCTGTCTACAAGAAGATAAACCTTTTCATATGCAGATGATTTTTCTGTTTACAAATATATGAGGGATCTTCAAAAATTTCGCAGAAAATGTGTATTATGAAAAAGCTATGCATGGATTATAAAAACTTTTTGCAACAAAATAATTTACATCTTACTAAAATCACATAAAAAGAGAGCGAAAAAAGGTGGTCTGACCACTGAGCACTGGGAAAATGTGTGCTTTGAATTGCCTGTCTACAAGAAGATAAACCTTTTCATATGCAGATGATTTTTCTGTTTACAAATATATGAGGGATCTTCAAAAATTTCACAGAAAATGTGTATTATGAAAAAGCTATGCATGGATTATAAAAACTTTTTGCAACAAAATAACCTCCTGTTATCTTGTTATAAAATGACTGAACAGGACCTAGTTCGAGGCACTAAGAAGACATGAGTTTGAAAAGATCCCCTATCAGAGCAACATGAATTCTAAAATTTAAGCAACAACAAACATTAAATTTATGGTGAAGCTTGAGTGGAAGAATGATAACTTCACTGATGCTTTATGAAAAGTTTGTGGGGGACAATACCCCCAAAATCAGAAGTTCACAAATGGATAACTCATTTAGAGAAGGGATGAGGTAATGTCAAAGATGAAGCCAACAGCAGCAAACCATCCACATCAATTTGCAAGGAAAAAAATTAACTTTGTTTGTGCCCTAATTGAAGAGGACCAGTGATTAACAGCAGAAACAGTAGCCAACACCATGGACATCTCAATTGGTTCAGCTTACACAATTCTGATTGAAAAATCACAGTTGAGCAAACCTCCCACTCGATGGATGCCAAAACTGTTGCAGATCAGCTGCAGACAAAAGCAGGGTTTCCAATGGAAATTTTAAACAAGTGGAATCAAGATCCTAAAGCATTTCTTGGAAGAGCTGTAGCAGGAGATGAAACACGGCTGTATCAGTGCATCCTGAAGACGAAGCTCAGTCAAAGCCACGGTTACTTAGAGATGGAAGTGGTCCAGTCAAAGCAGAAGTAGACCAGTCAAAAGCAAAGGTCATGGCCACAGTTTTTTGGAATGCTCAAGGCATTTTGCTTGTTGACTTTCTGGAGTGCCAAAGAATGATAACAACTGCATATTATGAGAGTGTTTTGAGAAACTTAGCCAATGCTTTAGCAGGAAAACACCCAGGAAAGCTTCAGCAGAGAGTCCTTCTCCACCACAATGCTTCTGCTCATTCTTCTCATCTAAAAATGGCAATTTTAGGCCGGCCCGGTGGCGCACTGCTACAGTGCGCCGCTTGGGAGCGTGGTGGCGCTCCCGCCGTGGGTTCGGATCCCACATACAGACCGGTTCCCGCTCACTGGCTGAGCGAGGTGCGGGAGCAACACCGAGGGTTGCGATCCCGTTGCCGGTCCCAGTCCGGTATGGGCACGACACTGAGGGATGCGATCCGTTGCCGGACACGAAAAAAAAGAGACAAAAAGGAAAAAAATAATAATAACAATGGCAATTTTGTAAGGGTTTCAGTGGAAAATCATTAGGCCTCCACCTGACAGTTCTCGTTTGGCTCTTTCTGGCTTCTTTTTTTCCCCTAATCTTAAAATATCTTTAAAGAGCACCCATTTTTCTTCAATTAACAATGTAAAAAAAAAAAAAAAAAGACTTCATAGACATGGTTAAATTTCCAGGATCTTCAGTTCTTTAAGAATGGACTAAATGGCTGGTATCATCACTTAACAAAAGTGTCTTGAACTTAATGAAGCTTATGTTGAGATATAATGTTTACATTTTTTACTTTTAATTCCATCTTTATTTCTTATAAGACTAGTCAAGTGCAGTAGTGAGAAAGAGGGAAAGAGTAGAACAAGGAATTTGATCTGTAACTGACTGTGAACAATCAACTGAGATAACTCACTACCTCCAGACCAGTCATTAATTCCATTTTCCCATGAACTTTTTGAAGTCCCCTCATATTCTCCCACCTTTGTCCAAAACCCCAGTGACCACTCATACTTGTAAGGCCAGTAAACTGGTTTTAAGAGCCACCAAATAAGTTTGAGCATCTGTTGTATTATTAGCAATGTGCTGGCACATTTTAGCCAGAGACTCACCTAAGGACACTTGTACTTTATCTCAGGGGATGGCATTCTGGATGGTCTCTTTCCCCTACTGTGTGGAATGTATATTTTTTAAAAAAAAATCAAGTAAAACACATACCCCCAAGGCTATATTTCATGCTCCCCCGTACTTTGAGTCATTTTTTTTTTGTCTTGACTAGACGTTATGAAAGAAATTAAGTATATACACAGTTCTAGAAATTGAGCTAACCACATCAAGGATATTTTACCTCTGATCCATCCGTAATCCCCACAAAGCACCATCCTGTGTTTTATGAGATGCAACTGAAGAACAAATCAAACACAGATGTATCTGTAATTTTGTGGAGGGACTGCCTAACTCATAACAGGAGAAGGAGAGAAGGCTAGGTAATAATATTTGCTTATTACACTTAGATATTGGTCTAAATCAGTGCTCCTCAGCCTTGGCACTGTTGATATTGGGCCAGGTAATTCTGTGTTGGCAGTGCAGAGGGGTGCTGTTCTGTGCATTGAACACTGAGTGGTATCCCTGGTCTCTGTCCACTAGATGCCAGTAGCTCCCCTCCCAGTTGTGTCTTTCAGAGCTAGGATGGTGGAGAAAGTGAATAAATGGTAAAAGAAAAGGTATAGAATTTATAAAGGAATTGTCTAAGTGTGTAGAACTAAATAATAATAAAACACGACATATTAACATTCAAGGGAGGCAATAAAAGCAGTGTTCTGAGGATAATTTATAGCTTCAAGTCTTTATACTAGGAGAGGAAAACCTTACAACTAATGAGCTAAGTGTCCCATCTCAAGAAACCAGGAGAAGAGCGTTAGCATTGCTCCCACACTACATAGGAAAAAACAAATAGGAAAATTGAGTGAAAATTAATAAAAGAGAGGAAAACCTTACAATTAATGAGCTAAGTGTCCCATCTCAAGAAACCAGGAGAAGAGCATTAGCATTGCTCCCACACTACATAGGAAAAAACAAATAGGAAAATTGAGTGAAAATTAATAAAACAGAAAATAAAGCAAAAATTGTGAATTTCCACAGAGCGAAAAGTTTGGTCTTTTTAAAAAATGAACAAAATAGGAGGAGGGGTAAAGGGCCACAAAAAATGTTTACATTGTGTAATGATAAATTTTTTTTTAATGTGAACAAAATATATAAAACTCTGGCAATATCGGTCAGCTAAAAAACTAAGACAGAAATAAATAATATTGTGAAGGAAAGGGTGGACATAAAATAAGGATAAAACAGATTTTTAAAATAATATGAAAATAAAAATGTTTTAATTATCTGTTGCTGTCTTATAAATTATTTATTGATTAATAACGACAAGAATTTATCATTTTTTTATGATTTCATGGGCTGACTGAGCCCATTTCTTTTGCTCCACATAGTATTGACTGGGAAAAAATATCCACGAAGGATTGGTCTCAAGAGCAAATTAACACCTACCACAAAACAATAAGCACAAACAACTCAACAGAAAATTAGGTAAAATTAGGTAAAAGATGTGGACGGGAATTTTACATTAGAGGAAACCTGTATGGCCAATAAACATGTGAAAAGATACTCATCCTCATAAGTAACAAAAAAATACAAATCAAAACCTCAACCCGATGCCGATTCACACCACTGTAGTGGGAAACAACGTAAAGTCTGACAATAACAAGGATTAAGGAGGATGCAAATCCACAAAATTTCTTGTACATTGGAGGAGGGTAGAAAGTGGTATAAATTTGTACAGCTACTTTGGAAGACAAATTAGCATTTTCTTCTAAAGACAGACCAACCGTCGGTCAATCAAACTTGCCAGTAAATTTGCTCCCCTGGCCTGGTTGACAACCAGCATGCTTTCACCAAACATTCTGTTAGTTATCTTATTAAATTGTGGGGCTGCTGGTCTAAATAGTGAAGTGGAGCCTGCTTCCCTTTTTTCTTCCTCATTTCCTATAGATCAGTGTGCCAGCTGCTGGCAAGCTTTATCTGTCCTTGACATGAAAGTCAAGATCTCAGCCTTGGAAAAGTTATCATCCCATTTTCCCTCTAAGAATCTTAAAAAGCAAATCCTTAGGATTATTCTCTTAAGGCTCTGCAACTGATCACTAACTCTGCAAATGACTGAGGCCAACCATGTTGAACGTTATTCC